CGGTATATTAAATAAAATTACATAGCTAGATTGCCTTATTCTTTCAAATACCTCTGATGCAAAACGTTCTAGGGAATTATTGATATCGTTCATTTGATCTGCAGTCTCTGTGAGGTTGAGACTAATGAGATATTTAAGCGAATTGGAAATGTTCATGTCTACTTGCAACTGTTTATATTATCCATATCGTTGCAGTTTCAATTATCATCACTGTTTGCCAACAGAGTCTTTAAAATGTCTGAAATGGAGACAACTGGTAAAAGCTTGTCTGCTTCCGGTTGAACGGAGTATCTCGTCTCGTTGAAACTGCCAGAAATCGCGTCAGTAGTAGTGTTGGATTGTGCCATTTTCCTACCTTTGGCTGGACTCCTAGAAGCAGCGGTCTCCATGTTCTTTTGTGGCATGATAAGAAAGTGACGTATAGCAGATTGATTGAACAAAATATTGGAAATAGAAATGGCTGAAAATATCAGTTCTGAGGACTCAAGTCAGTCTAGAAATCAAAACATATGTTTTAACCAAGAGTGAATGTATCGCGAGGATTAGCGAAGGTGTCAAAAACAAGAGATAAGAATGACAGTAAGATAGTAGTTGAGATGTAATTCTTACGTCAGTATCAGCGTGGAGGCAAAATAGAACATAAAATAGCATGTTGTGTAAATTTTAACATATATATCGTACAAAAGATAGTCTTACATAATAAAGTAATTTAAAAATGTCGGTAATTAGTATCGAACAATCAAAGTGAACACGGTATGTGATACATATATAAACTGAAAGTCCGCATTTTAAAAAAATGGGAGGTGCAAAGATAAGTAGTTTTAAAGATTATTACCATCTGAGATTATGTTGCTTTATAAACAAATATATGAAACAGCTTTTTGGATAAAATACTGTCAACAAAATTTGACAGTCACCGAATTGAACAGGTAATTTCCGAAATTATGTGAGTTATAGTATCCAAATACGATTTAAATGAAAGTTCATAAAATAGTGAGTAGAGTGCTTTAACTGCTAACCGGTGTAGGGGATGGTTGGAAGAAAGGAGCGGCCAAACCAAAACGTGGCATCAGTGATTGAAGTTACTAACTTCTAATCTGAGCCATGTTGGTAGATGCACACTACTTGGTTGGGGTCCGCGTGACTTTCGTAACCAATGGTTGGAGATTCTTGGTGACGTGGCTCAGAATCGGTCACAATGTCGTCGGTGTATACACTACCTGTCTTCCCTTAAACTAAGAGATTAAAATCGCTTCACATCTTCCTTTCTACGAGCTAATTCTTTTTTCCTGTACTATATCCTTATTGCAATCTTTGTTTTATATGTTACCACCTCTGAATTAACTACTTTTATGAATCCAGTGTCCATCTTGTTGTGTTAATGAGGTATGGCAAACTGGACCGATGCACATATGTGCCTGGTCCTAAGTTGTAGCTGACTGACTGACTGACAGTGCTTTAACACACACGATTATACATATTTCTTGCTATTAGGTAGAGGTATGAATAAATCATGTAAATACATAAAGTATGTGGGTTATAACATCCAAACACGATATAACCATATATTCATTAAGAAATAGAACACAGATATGAAATGCGATTTTTCGTCGAATATGATTGTGTATTTTTAAAAACGACAGAGCGTAGTTTGATCGTATAGCCAAAATGAACATATGTAATCATATGATTATGAATTAATTTATGAGTATGATCATAAATATCATGGTTAAGTTAAACACAGATCTCATTATATAGCATGAGATACACAGTTTATATGTTAAGAGTTCAGAATTGAGATATCTTCCATAATAACAAGAAAAAAATCCATCTAGCATTGCGAGAATCCTAGAAAAAGAAAACTGAAGGCCTCAGCCTGAAAGTAACGTACAGTCCGTAGCGCAAACATTCTCTTTTTTCTAGCAGCACGTTTGCAGTGTACAGTCATGGATCGTCTTACATCTTAAATACAGACGTAATGTATGCGAAGTTCAGGGTCGGAGATTATACTAAGCGGATTTCAATTGTCCCTTTACAACATCTATAAACTTAATAGACGGATATATCATACAAACACAAAGCTAGTAAATTCCTATGCAGTTTCTGTTATAAATATTTCTTGACAAATCAGTAATCTTGCAAATCAGATGTAAACCGTTGTTGCATACTTCTGACCATACCGGTATGAATGCCATGTAAATGATTGGGTACAAATATATTATCGCACTACTCTTAGATGTTACTGATCTAATGCTTATTCCATTACCAACTTTTTTATCCTACTACATAAATACATATATTTTCATCCGAATACTTAGATTCATTGTTTTATCAAAATGTCATACTGGGTTCATCTGAAGATGATGATCGGCTACTAACTTGGTACCATCTACACAATTGTTTACATGTGCTCTCTTACTCAAAATATACTTCACTTACGTCTAAGTTTATATCAAATGCAAATTCCTTCTTTCATACATTCACTTTTATAACTGTTTGTGTAGGCTACAACCATGATTTATTTTGGATTCTGTTTGCAAAACATATACAACTGTTTGTTTTTATTCCAGTTCATATTGACGAAAACATTGGCGCATAATTTTTGACGATAAATCAATATCCGACACCTTATGGAGTCAGTGAAAATATTATGAACATTGTTGAAACAATTGTGTGTGATGAAACCTGAACTGTTTTATTTCAAACAATGTTTGTGTTGATATGTTGTTCTAAATGATGAAGTGGTTTCAACTAAGTGATTGTTACAAATCAGGTAACACTACATGACTGGATTGTTCTATTGTGCACACGTCCGATGCTCCCTTATAAAACATTTTACGTTTTAAATCTACGATTGTTATATCAATGAAACAACACTGATATTTACATTGTTTCTTTACTTAGCAGACTGTATAGATTGCCTAATGTAACATTACCGTATTATTTTAATAGGCATCAAGTGTTACATGTCAATTTTGATCTTTTAAGCTAATTGGCATGAGTTTTAGATTAGAACCACTGTATGGTATTTAATAAAGCCTTCACAAAGCGTGAAAACGATTAATATAAGTCATTTATCTACTATTCGTGGCTAAAGACAGCAGACAGAGCTAAGGTCGAACTACCATTCAATAGTCGGCACATTCTGAATGCTAATAAATAATATCTTATTATAGATAATTATTACAATAATGTCATGATACCTTATTTCGAAGCAAATATGTAAAGAGCCAATGATGTTGTCGGGTCTTAAATAGAAACCTAGGATACTGTAATTTTTGTATTGACCTTTTTCAGACGTCCATCCCATTTTTATTTGTGTTAGGTAACTGTTATAGGCTTCAAATATTACACGCTGAAAGTTGTTTAATTTGGATATTATTTTGAAGTAAATCTTTTGAGAAACCGAAAAAATGCGATGATTTGGTGGAAGCATATCAGAAATGCATGAGTAATATTATTTTATTTTCATACGCTTATTAATACCTTACACGTTAAGTTCATATAACCTATTGTTATCGGGGATAATTTATGATTGTTAGCAATATATTTATTATAACATTAGAATCTCACCAGCTTGAAGCGTCTATAAAAATTTGTGGCAACTGTAGCGACTTAAAATCCTGATAAGTCCTTTCTAAATGTGTACACTCACTCACTTATATTTCTCAGTAAGTAGAAAGACGTAGGTGAAGTATTCTTTAATTCGGCGAAATAGACATTTCTATAAGAATATGACGTTGACCCTGATTATCAAATCACCTTTCAACCTTCTGCGGAACGCTTCTAGTGAGAAAACTAGTCAGATTAGAAGTCTCATTGCACATCACGTATGCATATGGGCCAGATATAATCTACTAATACATAATAATCACTTGACATACTATCGTCATCCGGTTAAACTTGTAAAATAAATTTTGATGCCATCCTCGGCTATCTATATCATGTCTGATTCATTTAAATAAATAATTTTCCTAGAGAAATCTTCTGCTATGACGAGGAACCGTACGGCACTTATTTTTCTAAGAAATCATAAAAAAGTCTCGGCGATGAGCTCATAAGGTCATATGTTTTTATCTGGTAACATTCAACTATCACGATGATGTACTAGAGCGTAGTGCTCTGTGGCTTGAAAAATCTTGAAAAATAATTAGTTTAGTGGATATCTAAAAATTGATCTAACTTTATTATTTCTAACTTGCGTTTAGTGACTCTACTAGACTCCATCTAGTTGCACCATACTAGACTCTCTTACATTGATGGGTAAAAGTCTTACCATAATCAACGTAATATGTACATTAAATAATATATTAGCAGCTTCTTACCCATTGTTTACAATTTCGGAGTTATAAACACTTTCATCTGTCATTTAGTGATATAATTCCCATATTAACTGATAACTTTGAAAGACAATATGACCTATGATCCCAAACATTTTTGGGTTTATGAAAATAGGTATTTAATTTATCTGTCTAATAACAGTACACTGACAACTTATTATTTTCCCTCAACTTTTTCCGACATTAACAAAGAATGGATTACTTTATTACTTCTCTCTTTGAATTTCAGGAGACGGTTCTTAGGCATGTTGAGATGCATTGTCAGTATATTTGATATAAATTGTCACAAAGGAAAAGTATGAAAAATATTGAGTTACTGAGAAGGAACGCGGAATGAATTGATTCAGAACTTTTTCTCACGAAGTACATTCCAAGATGATACCACTCAAGGCTTATTCACTAGGTGCTTTTTATCCGCGTCAATATGTGAAATGTGCACGAAAACCTCTGGATTAACAGTTTGCCCGTCCCATATATTATTATCTTTATTTTTCGGTTTTCCGTTAAGACCATATAGTATTAATAGCGTCCGACGAAAACTTGCTTTGAATGTTCTACAAGCGATGGTTTGAAGTGTTGTTAGGAAATTTACTACTTATTATTCCGATAAGAACGAAACAGTAGTATGTGTCTCGTATTTGTTTGTTCACATTATTTCAATGGATCTGGTCGTCAATGTTTATTTGGCTTATTTGAAGATATAAGAAGAAGAATGGAGTATGATGCTTGCATGAATGTTACAGCTCAGCAGTTTCTACAAAATTTAGGTAGCTATTAGATTAATTATTATTCTACTTTGGAAGAGGCCGAAAAGTTGGAAACTGCTGTGTTTGATGACGTTCTTATATGTTATTCAAATAATAATAAAGTTGTAGGGTCATATGAGGTAATAAATATTCACCAACTCCAGTTTCAACATTAGTGTCGAGTTACAAATAAGGATCTTGATATGAAAGGGTTTCTTGTGAAAGCGTCAATTAGAACCATGCTAGGGGAAATACATAGCACTACGACACTTGAAGCAAATATAACTTCCTCTCTTGAGACCCTTTCCCAAACAAAATTAGAAACCATTGTGGTATGTTGAAAGTTCTTTTCAAAGATATGTTCTAGATGAATGGAAGTATTATGGAAAGAAAGTCTACCATCGAACTTGTTGGGAATATGTATGAAATCGGTTGTACTGAATCAGTGAATGGAGAAATTAAGTTTTCAACAAAGAAACATTTAGCCCAATCCAATATATTAGGGTTAATTGCCGAAGGTTCGGATTTGATTTTTCAGCGAATTCTGGTTAAATCTGCTTTTTCTGTTCCTTTCGAGGTTATTGGTTTAGATACAGATTATAATTTAGCCACGGTGTCCTATGTGGGTTTTTTCAAAACAATTTTCCAACAATAAACAGATTGATCTTGGAGAAAGAAACGTATTCGTCGGAGATAGTGAAATATCAGTGAGAGGAATTCAGAGGACTGTGCATTCTCAAAAAGCCATCCCGTCATCCTGGCAAACTTACTTTATGGAGGACGGGTAAGAATATTTTAACCTTATTTTAAAGCTTTTTACTTTGTTGTTTTTAAGTGTCTTTCTTTGATAAGCTGGAAAATCACGCAGTTGAACGGCCTACGTTATATTTTCATTAAAACGTATAGAACGTGTGAGCTACTACGCTGAATTGGTGTGTTATAGATTCTAATAGTTTGTAGGGGACGCAACATTGCTTTAAAGACACAAGTAAAGGTTACAAAACACACACCACATCCATATGTTACTGTATTCACGTATATTTATTAAACGCCCAATTTATTTGTAACCGAAGGGTGAATGGTATTTTCAGTGAATATATTTTATTTGCGTGTGGGCTCTAATACTGACCGGGTACCCAGACAGGAACAGGTGGTTTCCTTAAGGGGTCAAACCCCGAGACTTTGAACTGAAGGCCTGATCTAAAAGACAGGGGAGCATCGTGAGGAGATGCGATCCCATGGTAGCCGGTGACCAACGATTGGTTCATACGCCATTTGTTCCTTCAGGATACTGGATCCCATGTGCGTCATTGGTTTGGAATCAGGGTTTTTCAACCCCCCTCCCTAGGTGAACTCACCGTGTTCATCGGCATGGTTAAAGCGTCGGACATTCGCTTTTCGTCCTCTCAATTTCGTTAACCACCCCCCTTCCCCGAGAAGGCAGTGAGTAGGACGTCCCTGGCAGAGGCTGTATACGCGTGGCCGTGTGAGAGCATTTTTTCTCATATGCACACCTTAACTTCTTTTTCTCTTTCCATTCTTATTGTTTTGTGTGGCACATATATTTCTGGTGCCACCTTGTACCAACATTTATGTGTTCAAATGAATAAATTATTTGTAACCATGTACATTATAGTGAGTGTAATCATAAATACGTTTAGTGACCCTTCACAAGTCACCAAGCTAATTCAAATAATTGTCACTAATTTGTAGTGCACCCAGTCAATCAAGTAATGTCCATCAGTTAGTTCAGCGTTTAATATTTAACTGGTAGATGATAATATGTGCCTTTGTATATTTATGCGTAATAGTTTATGAATAGATGTAATCATAGTGACGGCGGAGAAAGTTGCAAGAGAAAAAAATATGAAACAGCTTTACGATACAACGAAGAAACTAGCAGGGAATATATAGTAAACCAGAGAGACCGATCAAAGACAAAAAAAGGCAAGCCAATCACTGAAATTCAACAACAGCGGAACAGGTGGGTTGAGTATTTCGAGGAACTCCTGAATAGGCCGGCTCCAACGAATCCACCGAACGTCGAAGCACACACAGATCTTCCTATAGATGTCAATCCACCAACGACGGAAGAAATCAGAATGGCCATCAGACAAATCAAGAGCGGGAAAGCAGCAGGACCTGACAACATAACAGCTGAAGCACTGAAGTCAGACATCGAAGTAACTACAAACATGGTTCACTTTCTTTTCAAAAAGATCTGGGAGGAGGAACAAGTACCGACGGACTGGAAAGAAGGACACCTCATCAATATTCTAATGAAAGGAGATCTGAGCAAATGTGAAAACTACAGAGGCATTACACTACTGTCAGTAACAGGGAAAGTCTTTAACAAAGTGGAAGATTCAGTAGACGCCCAACTTTGAGATCAACAAGCTAGATTCCGTAAGGATCGGTTGTGCACAGACCGAATTGCGACACTACGGATCATCGTTGAACAATCAATTGAGTGGAACTCAACACTGTACATCAACTTCATTGATTATGAAAAGGCACTTGACAGTGTAGATAGGAGAACGTTGTGGAAACTTCTTCGATACTACGGATTTCCTGAGAAGATTGTCAACATTATCCGGAACTCATACGACGGACTACAGTGCAAGGTCGTGCATGGAGGACAGCTGACAGATGCATTCCAAGTAAGGACCGGAGTCAGACAAGGCTGTCTACTCTCTCTCTCTTTCTTCTGATGGTCCACTGGATCATGAGGACCTCGACATCTGAGGGAAAACACGGCATACAATGGACAGCTCAGAATCAATTAGACGATTTGGACTTCGCAGATGACCTAGCCTTCCCATCGCATACACATGAACAAATGCAGATAAAGACAGTCAGTGTAGCAGCAGTCTCTGCATCAGTAGGCTTCAACATACACGAGGGGAAAACCAAGGTCCTCAAATTCAAAACGAGGAACAGCAATCCAATCACTCTTGATGGCGAAACTCTGGAAGATGTAGAATCCTTCACATACCCAGGAAGCATAATCGATGAACAAGGAGGTTCAGGTGCAGACGTAAAGGCAAGGATTGGCACAGCAAGGGCCACATTCCTACAATTGAAGAACATATGGAACTCAAAACAACTTTCAACCGATATCAAAGTGAGAATGTTCAATACGAACGTCAAGGCAGTTCTACCGTACGGAGCTGAAACTTGGAGAACTACAACAACCACCATCAAGAATGTACAAGTATTTATAAATAGCTGTTTGCTCAGGATACTCAACATCTATTGGCCGGATGCCATCAGCAACAGCTTTTTGTGGGAGAGAAGAAACCAGCTTCCAGCTGAAGAAGAAATTGGGAAAAGATGATGGAAATGGATAGGACATACACTATGCAAATCGTCAAACTGGATCACGAGGCAAGCCCTGACTTGGAATCCTGAAGGGAAGCTGAAAAGAGGAAGGCCAAAGAACACATTACGTCGGGAAATAGAAGCAGATATGAAAAGGATCAATAGGAACTGGAAAGGTTTGCCCAGGACAGGGTTGGATAGAGAACGCTGGTGAGCGGCCTATGCTCCTTCACGAGCAGTAACGGGCCTAAGTAAATAATCATAGTCTGTGTATCATAATGTTAACTGTATGTTTCAGCTACTTCGTACACATTTTGAAATCAAACTCATTAGTGTATGTTCAGGTAAAATACGGAATACTCAAATACTATGTGTCTAAGCCTCATTATTTCAGAAAAGATTAGTGATATCAATTTAAACTACTATATTTTGAATAGGTAAGTGGAATCTATTGGCTAGTTAGGTTTTCGTCACGATTAAACTACTTTGAAAAATCACAACTACCCACATTAGTAGCACTAGTCTAAGAAAATGAGGTTTCATGTGTATCCTTATATACATTTACTGTACTCGATACGTAGCCATACATTCATTTAGTGTTTGGAATCATATCTAATCAATCGTTTCCACATATTGTTTGGAATTTAAGTCAATTAAAATAACAATCTCCCTATAATCTTGTCATTTTTAAAGTAGTAGTGAAAAGTTTTCTAAAAATTGTTTCAGCCATATGATACTAAGAATACAAGTTGGCTCTCCGATCACTATAAAGGCGAACGCCATACCTGAACTGTTCAAAAAAGGTTTGTTTTCCAGTTATATCCTTTAATTGTACTTTAATTTAGAAATGTATTTGCCTAAACCAGTCGTCACAAAGGTCTCCTTAAATTGGGAAGATGATCTGGAACTTTATTCGCGTTTTTTAGACCGAAAGGTAAAATTTGTTGCTAACATTAACTTTGCATTTCATAAACCTCTGTTAAGTTTGTAGTTAAAAGTACTTTCTTATTTTAAGTACGCTCCAAAGATGCATATTCGAATTAAATGAAATCAAATTTACATCGAAAAGTTTGAAAATTGGTAAACCCAGCTAATCAAGAGGAAATAAGATTTAATAAATTTTTTGTCAAGACTAAAGTAAGTGGAGTCAGATTGAAATCAATATCCAGTTGTTGGGCAACAAATTTCTAAATGCATGAAATATAGTTTTTGATTAATTTTAAAACAAAAGGACAGTAACGTTTAGTAGTGTTTTGCGGGTAAATAAGTCTCTCATATCCTATAAAGATAACGACATCCGAGTTAATTGAGCACGACATAAGGATTTCTGGTTCAGTATCATTATAAGTGATATTGCTTATCACCGAATAGTATGAAGTCAGAACTGAGAAATTTAAATTTCCATCATTTACATCTGTTCTCTAAATTTCATTACGTATTAATGCAAAGAGTCCACAAATTGCTTTTTCCTTCCGTCATCATTGATGTAGATTCGTTTTTTTCGTTTTTTGTAGGATGAAATCAAAGCTCAATATCTTTTATATCTGCGTGATCATCCAGAGATACATGATATGATTTCTGACTTTATTAAATCATTATTACTTCATAAACCAGATGAGGTAGTGAAATATGCTTCAGAATACTTCAAGAGTTTTTCAGCTCGCGCGTTACCGAGTAGAATATTTTCTGTTGAAACTGTATAAGTGTAATTACTTTCTATCAGGACATATGTTATTTATTTCATTTTTATTCTTCAGACATGTTTAGACTGTTTATTTTTTCATTATTTACATGAATATCAGATTTCCCGTCTTTGTTTTCACCCAGTGTTCTTTAGTAACTGCATAATTAATTTCTGAAAATATATATTATTTTGGTTGTTTGCATTGACAATGTAGGTGTGATAACCTAGGAATTCTTTTAAATAAGTTTCAGGAATATCATCAAATCCACAAAGTTGTAATTAATTCAATGACTTGAAATATTTCCGAAAATTATTTTCAGCAAACCTTAATAAAGAACTAAGAGGAAAGGCCTCGAAATTGGTAAAATAGATGTTTAATAGTATCTCCAAAATAATTCTAAGGCTCACCGTGGAACAGTAGTTATATAAGCGCGACATTGATTCCTCTCTGACTAAGTCATATAGCTTACATAACATAAAATTATTTTACAAACGGCGTGCCTTAATAATGTGTAAATTTGAATTTCAGGTAGAAAATGTATTCTCCTACAATACACTATGATGATAAATTTTAACGGTGAAAAATTCATATATAGAACCTAATTTGATGGGCAGTCATAAAGTTCTTATCGACTTTAACTGTATTATTATTAACTTACAACCATGTTGGAAATTACGTTGAAACATGAGAACCCTAATGTTTTTATATAGACTTAACTACTGATGCAAGTAGGTAACAAAATCAATATGCGCTACACAAATAAGAAAATGTGTTTTTGGGAGATGAAGAGAGGCGAGGAAGTATTGTCGAATAAATAAATGAAAAAAAATCAAATTATAATAGGGGGGACTAGTTAGTCCGAAAAATACAAATAAAAAGTATTTTTTTCAGTTAGAGAAGTTCTTTTGGCTTTTACCAGGAATTTAAAATAAAACTACAGAATACCCGTCATTGGCTTTTGTTGCGAGCCATGCATGATAACTTTTTAAGTCTATGGCTACACTACCTCTGTGATCCGAACATAGAAATCGTGACAAACTAGCAGTTGGCTTCTTTCATACCGCTTCTCCATGTCATAAATTCAACACTTATCTACTTCCGGGCAGGTCCAGAGTTGGCAAAGAAAACAAAATGTAGATCTCGCTGTGAAAACATTCTTAGCACGTGCCAAAGCCACCGAGGACGGTATTTCATGGTGGGGACTAACTGGATTATCGTCACTTAGCCCTAATCCAAACGATTGAACTCCAAGATTACCAGTGGTATTTTCACTAGTTATCTGCAGTCCTTTGGCGACAACAGTCACCAAACAGAAAGTTACCAAAAAATCAACTTGGAGAGGCCGGGTTTTTAAAGCTTGAACCAAAACTGCTCTCAAAAACGCGTCGTAGACCTGGTCTTTTACAGCCGAACTAACATCATGCTGACTCTGAAATGGCATAGGCCATTCTAACTTTTACTATACGTAAATTAACTCAAACAGTTACGCTACCATCAGCACACAAAACTACCCAAATACAATAGTTTTCGACTTCTAACTGCTCACCATCAAGAGTCAGTGTACACACGCTCCTACCAGTCTTGTTGAAGGTCTTTTTATCCAGAAGTTCCAAAGTAAATGTCATACCTATGGAAACTGATTGTCAAATGCTTAAGTACGATTTGGATAAATTCAATATCATTGCATACCGAGACATTATCATCCTCATGTTCATGATCAGTGTCTTCTTATAGGTAACGGGTCCACACCACCACTACATACTACCAGAGCTGTTTCCAGAATGTCATGGCAGAGTTGAAGAGGAATGGTGAAATAGATCAGTTCTGCCTAGCCTTATTGCTCATGTGGGACGATGGGAAGAGGTGGTTGTGTACCTCCATTCTTCTTTAGGTACTTAGATGCAGAGCCTTCAAAGTGTTGACGAACTTCTAGGACACTTCACTAGACGAGAACAGTCCTATCCAACTAATCGAAGGGGGCTCTGAGGTCAAGAATTATGAATACTGTTTGCTTGCAATAGGTGCGGTGGTCCTCTAACATTCGGTAAAAGGTGGAAATATGATCAACGCGTTCACAACCTGAACGAAAACCATCCTGTTCATCGCGAGTTATGACGGAATCCTTTAGTTTATATTCACCCCGGAGTGAACTTTTCCATCCATAGTTGTCGAATAGATGATATAGGTTCTTTTCAAATGTAGGTATCATAGTCGCTTCGTTTAGGAATGATGAAACACTACTCAAAATTGTCTAAACAACCCATTCAGCTCCCTTACCAGAAGTTCGCCACCATTCCTGACCAGTTCGGTAGTATGTCCTCCGATCCCAGTGACTTGGGCTCCTAGCGTTAACATTCCCCGTGTACCTCCGCCTCGTTGAATGGGTCGTCACTCAACTGAAATACCTTCGGGGAACTATACCCACCTTCCAGGAGATAGTTTGATTTTATCTAATGGCGTCTCATCAGCTCCGTAGATTGTTTCAATCGCTAATCTTTTTGCTACCAATCGCACAGATGAGTTGAAACAGCTTGCATCAGTTAAAGGAAGCAACTTTGAATTCATCAGAACGCTCCAACCACCAAACTTCTACGTCACTATGCGAACTTAGCACGATTTCCTTAAGTAAGTATTTGCATTGGTCATTAAGCTCGAAGTTGGATGGAATAGACTAACGTACCTCATGGAGTTGAAAACATCTTGTAGAAACTCAGCGCTTGTAAGCGATGCTACTCAACATTTCCACGACGTTATACAAATGCAGCTAGTATTCATCTGAAATTTTCGGTGGGTTGATAGTTATCCTTGAACCTAACTCACTGTGGTATTTGGTTGTGACGGAAGTTTCAGGTGATTTATACCTACCTGTTTAAGACGATGGATTTATAGCGACTAAAACCTAGGATGATCAAGGTCTAGATAGGTACTCTAAAAGAAGCGTTATTTTTGTACACAACTAGTCCAGGGGTATCTGGTCCCAAAGAGATCAGTCTTGGTGTAGGTTTAGTTGCAGAGAGAAGGCACTAGGTAGAATATTTGCGAAAACTGCAGGAATTTGGTGCTAAACAGGAACAAGTTGTGATCTGCACATGCTTCCACAAGACGGTCACCGCTATCGGACGTTTGACCGACTAATCCCAATTGGCCACCACAACAACTTTGTACACAAACCCACACATTCGGCCAACACTACAAGGTTTTTTGAATGAAATTTCTTAACAAGATAATTTGGTTGTTAGTAGAACTCATCCTCGATTCTACTCAGACTATAATCTGTCAGGGCATATGGGAGGGTTTTGAAAAGACATCGTTCCCCAATCCAATTTCTCAATTTAATGGGGCTTCCTAATCTGACAGCTAATAAATGACTGTTAATGAGAGTCCTATAGATTGATGCCACAGACGCCAGTCAAAATGGGTGACGATGCCACATATTCGCCGGATGAATGGACATGAAACAAGTTTTCAAACCAAAAGATAACGAACAAGTTTGTGGTACTTCATTAAAGTTTTAAGTAAGGGTCTCGTATATATAGCTAACATCAATGTCATGACTTTCCACGAACTTATCTGTTGAAAGTTCTGGGTCACTGCATAAATGTTGATGGTGGCTAGTGAAAATGCACCGTGTGATTTTAGGAAAGCTGGCTCAGATTTCATATCCGATGGAAACATTCGAAACTTCAGCCAGTCATCGACTTGAGATCACTTAGATGTGAAAGCCAGTTCGAAGTGGACGTGCTACTGAGCGAGTTGAAAATAAAATAAAATAGTGGAAAGAAAACAGAATGAAGCAAAGTAGAACAAACACTTGGATTATTTGAATATTAATTATACTTTCAGTAATAGAGGAAGAGGAGCAAGCATATTAATAGTTTTCTTAGGAAGTTTCTCTTCGATGCTTTGACCTAGAGGCCTAATCAATAGGGTATTAGAGTAACGTTAAGAGATACTATTCCATGGTACCGGTAGTTTTGAATCAGGATTTCCCAACCCTAGCAGATGAACCCTCTGAGTCAATCAACCCAATTAAAGAGCCGACAAATAGCAAAAACTTCAAATCGGCATGCTAGGTGCAATCGTACATAGAGGAATGATCATTCAGAATACTTATTTCTTGAACTCCCTTCATGCTGTTGAAGTTATACGATATTTAAAAAAAGTTTTTTTTGACATTTTATTTTAGTGATAAGGAGGAATGAAGAGAAAATTTAAAACGTAACCTTTCATCACTCCAACAAGTAAACTTCGGAGAAATTGTGTGGAAATAAACTTAAAAACTATGTAGCTGGCACGAAATTGATGTCCTTTTATTTCCAACTGCATGGTTTATCACCAAGCATAGGATAAATTACACAGAAGACTAGCTTTTCAATCATTACTCCACATAACTAACATAGTAACAAAACCCCTTTAAATTATTGTTTGATTATTTCGAAAGAACGTCATCAACCAGTTTAGGATAAATAAATAAAATCGGGAAATAAAATGTTAAAGAATATGGAATAAAAGCAACTGTTGTCACCAAACACTAATAACCATACTGTACGACTATTAAGCGGGTTCTAAACTGACGGTCGACAAGTTCATAAGTTTTTCGTCATGTTTTGATCTACAACTATTTATTTTAATCCAATAATCAGCATTTCAAATCAGCATAGGCAGTCGCTAGACATGCGTAAAGCACGTCCTAACCAACTCATTCGAATGTACAAAACTCCACAGATTGGCTGGACCTTTTAATCCAGTATCTTACGCCTAACTATACTCGGTTGGTGCACCAGTTAAATTTAACGTCAAATACCAGTGACTTATGAATGTCCTTTAATCCCAATGTGCCATTTTTCTAACTAGATTAGTACAGAATAGATTTCTGTGCCGTATATTCTCAGCACGATTAACAAACTGATATCATATCTGTGCCATAGGTTTCCAGACTCATGAAGAGTGGAGCACCCTTGTCCTCCAAACTGTGTAGATAAGTTTGGGTAGATGAACATGCTAGAATAATGTATGTTGATTCCGAAGGTGCAATATACTTTATTGGGACTAGATTTCAGGGTCAGTTAGTTATAATCAATGTAGAGCCTTGCACACTACTGGTTGGCATAAGCTGCAATATCAAAACACAAAGAGATGAAGTAGAAAGAATAATACTGCAGGGATCGAATAAAATAAGCATAAATGACAATGGGAAAGACTGGATATTGAAAATAATTCAACAAGACAATGAAAAGTTATGTATGAAGGAATATTGGGATACGGGATCTAGAGTAAAATAAGTGAATGAATTTGAACTGTTGTGACCAGTTCTGACAGTTGTCACCCAACGTCTCCAGCATGTGCTAATGATCATCGTGGGACTCCAACCAGGTAACCTGGACCTACTAGTATGGCTCAGATCAACGGTCGATAACTTCATGGACCAGTATTATATCTTGGGCGTTCCTGGTTTTCTTTTAACTTGATCGGAAATTTAACGCAGATTGCATATGAAACGAAGTTGAATAATCGAAGAAGACTTGATAATAGGGATAGTTTAAATAATATGAAGAATGAAATTTTTGTTGTGGATAACATAAACTCGAATACTATTAGGGTTTTGTGGGTAGTAGAAAAGTCCTATTTGTCTACATCGTGATAAGAAAACTTCTTGAGGGACCTGAAAAAGAAACTGAAGTAGTAGTAAAAATCCTGTCTGCTAAGAATGATTCCACATCCAAACCTTGGGTTTTGATGATTTCACCCCCATCTCTATCAAACCGACTTCCTTGGTATGATACAATTTAAAAGAACGAATGTCTTATTAATTCATCATGATTGGTGTATCCGGTCACCATATCAAAGCAGAAGCTTCGGTTGATAAGTAATTAATATCCATAAATGCTTTGCCTAATTAACAATCAGTCTTATATTAAATCTTCAGAATCAGTTATGAACCCGTTCTTCTTCCCTCTTTAAAATAAATTTTATGGTGAATAATACTTGATTAGGTCGAGTATAATCTACCAGGAATCAATATCGTAGTTGAAGAATATATATAAAAGATTAGTGGAATTCAAGATTAAGAAAAAGTTGATAATATAGATTCATGTATAAAATACTAAATATTAAGTTACCAGATAAAATAAATAAATCGTAAGATTTACTTGAATATTCATATATCTCATTCGTTTTACATTAAACTTCAATTAGCAATTTCGAAAAATAGTAATTATAATAATCAATAAATATACAAATCGTTCTTCTTCATGTGATTTGTACACAAATAATAAACTTATAAATTTCAAAGTGATCTCGAATTCCATTCTGGTCACATTTGGAGATATTTGTGTGAATAAAATGACGAGCAACTTGATTTACAGGTAGAGATTCCGTATTAAGTATCTTTAAATGCCATATTTTACTATCAAATGATCAGTCGAATAGCTCTACCGTCAGCCATTCTTTTTCTCTGATGAGTTTGATTATCCATTGACAGTTATTGCTGGAACTCGCTGATTGTCCACTATATTCTTTTGTTCCTGATTGATTAATTGTTAAGTAAATTTCTCTAATAGAAACAAACCAATATCCAATTTCTGTTTCGCATTCTTTTGTGCATGGTCGACTGTAATTTCAACCAACTAATAGAATAGTTAACTAAGAAATTGTCCTACAATCAGGAATTTGCCAGGTAATCATTACGTAAAAGAGCACAACTACTTATCTGATTTACGTAACACTTAACCTCTGCATCTAATTGATATTGAGACTTTCTTGTAAAATCACTGCCACATAGATTGAGTTCAATGAATAATAATCCACTTCTTGAATGGTATAAATTTTATGATAAAACTAACGTACATGGACTAATAACTACTGAAATCTATTCTTTTTAACCAAGCAGATGATAAAAATGAATAGTTTTTTTTTGACGGAATATTAACAGATTACAATTGAAACTCATATACATATCCATTTTCTACATGATTCATAAACTTATCAAACTTCATTTGGTTTTTTGTCTAGAAATTGAAGTAGATGCAGTTAAGAAACTTATTCATTCAATTTTGTAGTAGTTTACCTTATGAACATGTATAAGGGGCGAAGACTGCCATCGCTAACCCTCCACTGAATGACGAACATCTGTTAAAACAATTATTGCCCTAAAACTAATGGGTATATTTGATATAAATTGTCACAAAGGAAAAGTATGAAAAATATTGAGTTACTGAGAAGGAACGCGGAATGAATTGATTCAGAACTTTTTCTCACGAAGTACATTCCAAGATGATACCACTCAAGGCTTATTCACTAGGTGCTTTTTATCCGCGTCAATATGTGAAATGTGCACGAAAACCTCTGGATTAACAGTTTGCCCGTCCCATATATTATTATCTTTATTTTTCGGTTTTCCGTTAAGACCATATAGTATTAATAGCGTCCGACGAAAACTTGCTTTGAATGTTCTACAAGCGATGGTTTGAAGTGTTGTTAGGAAATTTACTACTTATTATTCCGATAAGAACGAAACAGTAGTATGTGTCTCGTATTTGTTTGTTCACATTATTTCAATGGATCTGGTCGTCAATGTTTATTTGGCTTATTTGAAGATATAAGAAGAAGAATGGAGTATGATGCTTGCATGAATGTTACAGCTCAGCAGTTTCTACAAAATTTAGGTAGCTATTAGATTAATTATTATTCTACTTTGGAAGAGGCCGAAAAGTTGGAAACTGCTGTGTTTGATGACGTTCTTATATGTTATTCAAATAATAATAAAGTTGTAGGGTCATATGAGGTAATAAATATTCACCAACTCCAGTTTCAACATTAGTGTCGAGTTACAAATAAGGATCTTGATATGAAAGGGTTTCTTGTGAAAGCGTCAATTAGAACCATGCTAGGGGAAATACATAGCACTACGACACTTGAAGCAAATATAACTTCCTCTCTTGAGACCCTTTCCCAAACAAAATTAGAAACCATTGTGGTATGTTGAAAGTTCTTTTCAAAGATATGTTCTAGATGAATGGAAGTATTGTGGAAAGAAAGTCTACCATCGAACTTGTTGGGAATATGTATGAAATCGGTTGTACTGAATCAGTGAATGGAGAAATTAAGTTTTCAACAAAGAAACATTTAGCCCAATCCAATATATTAGGGTTAATTGCCGAAGGTTCGGATTTGATTTTTCAGCGAATTCTGGTTAAATCTGCTTTTTCTGTTCCTTTCGAGGTTATTGGTTTAGATACAGATTATAATTTAGCCACGGTGTCCTATGTGGGTTTTTTCAAAACAATTTTCCAACAATAAACAGATTGATCTTGGAGAAAGAAACGTATTCGTCGGAGATAGTGAAATATCAGTGAGAGGAATTCAGAGGACTGTGCATTCTCAAAAAGCCATCCCGTCATCCTGGCAAACTTACTTTATGGAGGACGGGTAAGAATATTTTAACCTTATTTTAAAGCTTTTTACTTTGTTGTTTTTAAGTGTCTTTCTTTGATAAGCTGGAAAATCACGCAGTTGAACGGCCTACGTTATATTTTCATTAAAACGTATAGAACGTGTGAGCTACTACGCTGAATTGGTGTGTTATAGATTCTAATAGTTTGTAGGGGACGCAACATTGCTTTAAAGACACAAGTAAAGGTTACAAAACACACACCACATCCATATGTTACTGTATTCACGTATATTTATTAAACGCCCAATTTATTTGTAACCGAAGGGTGAATGGTATTTTCAGTGAATATATTTTATTTGCGTGTGGGCTCTAATACTGACCGGGTACCCAGACAGGAACAGGTGGTTTCCTTAAGGGGTCAAACCCCGAGACTTTGAACTGAAGGCCTGATCTAAAAGACAGGGGAGCATCGTGAGGAGATGCGATCCCATGGTAGCCGGTGACCAACGATTGGTTCATACGCCATTTGTTCCTTCAGGATACTGGATCCCATGTGCGTCATTGGTTTGGAATCAGGGTTTTTCAACCCCCCTCCCTAGGTGAACTCACCGTGTTCATCGGCATGGTTAAAGCGTCGGACATTCGCTTTTCGTCCTCTCAATTTCGTTAACCACCCCCCTTCCCCGAGAAGGCAGTGAGTAGGACGTCCCTGGCAGAGGCTGTATACGCGTGGCCGTGTGAGAGCATTTTTTCTCATATGCACACCTTAACTTCTTTTTCTCTTTCCATTCTTATTGTTTTGTGTGGCACATATATTTCTGGTGCCACCTTGTACCAACATTTATGTGTTCAAATGAATAAATTATTTGTAACCATGTACATTATAGTGAGTGTAATCATAAATACGTTTAGTGACCCTTCACAAGTCACCAAGCTAATTCAAATAATTGTCACTAATTTGTAGTGCACCCAGTCAATCAAGTAATGTCCATCAGTTAGTTCAGCGTTTAATATTTAACTGGTAGATGATAATATGTGCCTTTGTATATTTATGCGTAATAGTTTATGAATAGATGTAATCATAGTGACGGCGGAGAAAGTTGCAAGAGAAAAAAAATATGAAACAGCTTTACGATACAACGAAGAAACTAGCAGGGAATATATAGTAAACCAGAGAGACCGATCAAAGACAAAAAAAGGCAAGCCAATCACTGAAATTCAACAACAGCGGAACAGGTGGGTTGAGTATTTCGAGGAACTCCTGAATAGGCCGGCTCCAACGAATCCACCGAACGTCGAAGCACACACAGATCTTCCTATAGATGTCAATCCACCAACGACGGAAGAAATCAGAATGGCCATCAGACAAATCAAGAGCGGGAAAGCAGCAGGACCTGACAACATAACAGCTGAAGCACTGAAGTCAGACATCGAAGTAACTACAAACATGGTTCACTTTCTTTTCAAAAAGATCTGGGAGGAGGAACAAGTACCGACGGACTGGAAAGAAGGACACCTCATCAATATTCTAATGAAAGGAGATCTGAGCAAATGTGAAAACTACAGAGGCATTACACTACTGTCAGTAACAGGGAAAGTCTTTAACAAAGTGGAAGATTCAGTAGACGCCCAACTTTGAGATCAACAAGCTAGATTCCGTAAGGATCGGTTGTGCACAGACCGAATTGCGACACTACGGATCATCGTTGAACAATCAATTGAGTGGAACTCAACACTGTACATCAACTTCATTGATTATGAAAAGGCACTTGACAGTGTAGATAGGAGAACGTTGTGGAAACTTCTTCGATACTACGGATTTCCTGAGAAGATTGTCAACATTATCCGGAACTCATACGACGGACTACAGTGCAAGGTCGTGCATGGAGGACAGCTGACAGATGCATTCCAAGTAAGGACCGGAGTCAGACAAGGCTGTCTACTCTCTCTCTCTTTCTTCTGATGGTCCACTGGATCATGAGGACCTCGACATCTGAGGGAAAACACGGCATACAATGGACAGCTCAGAATCAATTAGACGATTTGGACTTCGCAGATGACCTAGCCTTCCCATCGCATACACATGAACAAATGCAGATAAAGACAGTCAGTGTAGCAGCAGTCTCTGCATCAGTAGGCTTCAACATACACGAGGGGAAAACCAAGGTCCTCAAATTCAAAACGAGGAACAGCAATCCAATCACTCTTGATGGCGAAACTCTGGAAGATGTAGAATCCTTCACATACCCAGGAAGCATAATCGATGAACAAGGAGGTTCAGGTGCAGACGTAAAGGCAAGGATTGGCACAGCAAGGGCCACATTCCTACAATTGAAGAACATATGGAACTCAAAACAACTTTCAACCGATATCAAAGTGAGAATGTTCAATACGAACGTCAAGGCAGTTCTACCGTACGGAGCTGAAACTTGGAGAACTACAACAACCACCATCAAGAATGTACAAGTATTTATAAATAGCTGTTTGCTCAGGATACTCAACATCTATTGGCCGGATGCCATCAGCAACAGCTTTTTGTGGGAGAGAAGAAACCAGCTTCCAGCTGAAGAAGAAATTGGGAAAAGATGATGGAAATGGATAGGACATACACTATGCAAATCGTCAAACTGGATCACGAGGCAAGCCCTGACTTGGAATCCTGAAGGGAAGCTGAAAAGAGGAAGGCCAAAGAACACATTACGTCGGGAAATAGAAGCAGATATGAAAAGGATCAATAGGAACTGGAAAGGTTTGCCCAGGACAGGGTTGGATAGAGAACGCTGGTGAGCGGCCTATGCTCCTTCACGAGCAGTAACGGGCCTAAGTAAATAATCATAGTCTGTGTATCATAATGTTAACTGTATGTTTCAGCTACTTCGTACACATTTTGAAATCAAACTCATTAGTGTATGTTCAGGTAAAATACGGAATACTCAAATACTATGTGTCTAAGCCTCATTATTTCAGAAAAGATTAGTGATATCAATTTAAACTACTATATTTTGAATAGGTAAGTGGAATCTATTGGCTAGTTAGGTTTTCGTCACGATTAAACTACTTTGAAAAATCACAACTACCCACATTAGTAGCACTAGTCTAAGAAAATGAGGTTTCATGTGTATCCTTATATACATTTACTGTACTCGATACGTAGCCATACATTCATTTAGTGTTTGGAATCATATCTAATCAATCGTTTCCACATATTGTTTGGAATTTAAGTCAATTAAAATAACAATCTCCCTATAATCTTGTCATTTTTAAAGTAGTAGTGAAAAGTTTTCTAAAAATTGTTTCAGCCATATGATACTAAGAATACAAGTTGGCTCTCCGATCACTATAAAGGCGAACGCCATACCTGAACTGTTCAAAAAAGGTTTGTTTTCCAGTTATATCCTTTAATTGTACTTTAATTTAGAAATGTATTTGCCTAAACCAGTCGTCACAAAGGTCTCCTTAAATTGGGAAGATGATCTGGAACTTTATTCGCGTTTTTTAGACCGAAAGGTAAAATTTGTTGCTAACATTAACTTTGCATTTCATAAACCTCTGTTAAGTTTGTAGTTAAAAGTACTTTCTTATTTTAAGTACGCTCCAAAGATGCATATTCGAATTAAATGAAATCAAATTTACATCGAAAAGTTTGAAAATTGGTAAACCCAGCTAATCAAGAGGAAATAAGATTTAATAAATTTTTTGTCAAGACTAAAGTAAGTGGAGTCAGATTGAAATCAATATCCAGTTGTTGGGCAACAAATTTCTAAATGCATGAAATATAGTTTTTGATTAATTTTAAAACAAAAGGACAGTAACGTTTAGTAGTGTTTTGCGGGTAAATAAGTCTCTCATATCCTATAAAGATAACGACATCCGAGTTAATTGAGCACGACATAAGGATTTCTGGTTCAGTATCATTATAAGTGATATTGCTTATCACCGAATAGTATGAAGTCAGAACTGAGAAATTTAAATTTCCATCATTTACATCTGTTCTCTAAATTTCATTACGTATTAATGCAAAGAGTCCACAAATTGCTTTTTCCTTCCGTCATCATTGATGTAGATTCGTTTTTTTCGTTTTTTGTAGGATGAAATCAAAGCTCAATATCTTTTATATCTGCGTGATCATCCAGAGATACATGATATGATTTCTGACTTTATTAAATCATTATTACTTCATAAACCAGATGAGGTAGTGAAATATGCTTCAGAATACTTCAAGAGTTTTTCAGCTCGCGCGTTACCGAGTAGAATATTTTCTGTTAAAACTGTATAAGTGTAATTACTTTCTATCAGGACATATGTTATTTATTTCATTTTTATTCTTCAGAAATGTTTAGACCGTTTATTTTTTCATTATTTACATGAATATCAGATTTCCCGTCTTTGTTTTCACCCAGTGTTCTTTAGTAACTGCATAATTAATTTCTGAAAATATATATTATTTTGGTTGTTTGCATTGACAATGTAGGTGTGATAACCTAGGAATTCTTTTAAATAAGTTTCAGGAATATCATCAAATCCACAAAGTTGTAATTAATTCAATGACTTGAAATATTTCCGAAAATTATTTTCAGCAAACCTTAATAAAGAACTAAGAGGAAAGGCCTCGAAATTGGTAAAATAGATGTTTAATAGTATCTCCAAAATAATTCTAAGGCTCACCGTGGAACAGTAGTTATATAAGCGCGACATTGATTCCTCTCTGACTAAGTCATATAGCTTACATAACATAAAATTATTTTACAAACGGCGTGCCTTAATAATGTGTAAATTTGAATTTCAGGTAGAAAATGTATTCTCCTACAATACACTATGATGATAAATTTTAACGGTGAAAAATTCATATATAGAACCTAATTTGATGGGCAGTCATAAAGTTCTTATCGACTTTAACTGTATTATTATTAACTTACAACCATGTTGGAAATTACGTTGAAACATGAGAACCCTAATGTTTTTATATAGACTTAACTACTGATGCAAGTAGGTAACAAAATCAATATGCGCTACACAAATAAGAAAATGTGTTTTTGGGAGATGAAGAGAGGCGAGGAAGTATTGTCGAATAAATAAATGAAAAAAAATCAAATTATAATAGGGGGGACTAGTTAGTCCGAAAAATACAAATAAAAAGTATTTTTTTCAGTTAGAGAAGTTCTTTTGGCTTTTACCAGGAATTTAAAATAAAACTACAGAATACCCGTCATTGGCTTTTGTTGCGAGCCATGCATGATAACTTTTTAAGTCTATGGCTACACTACCTCTGTGATCCGAACATAGAAATCGTGACAAACTAGCAGTTGGCTTCTTTCATACCGCTTCTCCATGTCATAAATTCAACACTTATCTACTTCCGGGCAGGTCCAGAGTCGGCAAAGAAAACAAAATGTAGATCTCGCTGTGAAAATATTCTTAGCACGTGCCAAAGCCACCGAGGACGGTATTTCATGGTGGGGACTAACTGGATTATCGTCACTTAGCCCTAATCCAAACGATTGAACTCCAAGATTACCAGTGGTATTTTCACTAGTTATCTGCAGTCCTTTGGCGACAACAGTCACCAAACAGAAAGTTACCAAAAAATCAACTTGGAGAGGCCGGGTTTTTAAAGCTTGAACCAAAACTGCTCTCAAAAACGCGTCGTAGACCTGGTCTTTTACAGCCGAACTAACATCATGCTGACTCTGAAATGGCATAGGCCATTCTAACTTTTACTATACGTAAATTAACTCAAACAGTTACGCTACCATCAGCACACAAAACTACCCAAATACAATAGTTTTCGACTTCTAACTGCTCACCATCAAGAGTCAGTGTACACACGCTCCTACCAGTCTTGTTGAAGGTCTTTTTATCCAGAAGTTCCAAAGTAAATGTCATACCTATGGAAACTGATTGTCAAATGCTTAAGTACGATTTGGATAAATTCAATATCATTGCATACCGAGACATTATCATCCTCATGTTCATGATCAGTGTCTTCTTATAGGTAACGGGTCCACACCACCACTACATACTACCAGAGCTGTTTCCAGAATGTCATGGCAGAGTTGAAGAGGAATGGTGAAATAGATCAGTTCTGCCTAGCCTTATTGCTCATGTGGGACGATGGGAAGAGGTGGTTGTGTACCTCCATTCTTCTTTAGGTACTTAGATGCAGAGCCTTCAAGGTGTTGACGAACTTCTAGGACACTTCACTAGACGAGAACAGTCCTATCCAACTAATCGAAGGGGGCTCTGAGGTCAAGAATTATGAATACTGTTTGCTTGCAATAGGTGCGGTGGTCCTCTAACATTCGGTAAAAGGTGGAAATATGATCAACGCGTTCACAACCTGAACGAAAACCATCCTGTTCATCGCGAGTTATGACGGAATCCTTTAGTTTATATTCACCCCGGAGTGAACTTTTCCATCCATAGTTGTCGAATAGATGATATAGGTTCTTTTCAAATGTAGGTATCATAGTCGCTTCGTTTAGGAATGATGAAACACTACTCAAAATTGTCTAAACAACCCATTCAGCTCCCTTACCAGAAGTTCGCCACCATTCCTGACCAGTTCGGTAGTATGTCCTCCGATCCCAGTGACTTGGGCTCCTAGCGTTAACATTCCCCGTGTACCTCCGCCTCGTTGAATGGGTCGTCACTCAACTGAAATACCTTCGGGGAACTATACCCACCTTCCAGGAGATAGTTTGATTTTATCTAATGGCGTCTCATCAGCTCCGTAGATTGTTTCAATCGCTAATCTTTTTGCTACCAATCGCACAGATGAGTTGAAACAGCTTGCATCAGTTAAAGGAAGCAACTTTGAATTCATCAGAACGCTCCAACCACCAAACTTCTACGTCACTATGCGAACTTAGCACGATTTCCTTAAGTAAGTATTTGCATTGGTCATTAAGCTCGAAGTTGGATGGAATAGACTAACGTACCTCATGGAGTTGAAAACATCTTGTAGAAACTCAGCGCTTGTAAGCGATGCTACTCAACATTTCCACGACGTTATACAAATGCAGCTAGTATTCATCTGAAATTTTCGGTGGGTTGATAGTTATCCTTGAACCTAACTCACTGTGGTATTTGGTTGTGACGGAAGTTTCAGGTGATTTATACCTACCTGTTTAAGACGATGGATTTATAGCGACTAAAACCTAGGATGATCAAGGTCTAGATAGGTACTCTAAAAGAAGCGTTATTTTTGTACACAACTAGTCCAGGGGTATCTGGTCCCAAAGAGATCAGTCTTGGTGTAGGTTTAGTTGCAGAGAGAAGGCACTAGGTAGAATATTTGCGAAAACTGCAGGAATTTGGTGCTAAACAGGAACAAGTTGTGATCTGCACATGCTTCCACAAGACGGTCACCGCTATCGGACGTTTGACCGACTAATCCCAATTGGCCACCACAACAACTTTGTACACAAACCCACACATTCGGCCAACACTACAAGGTTTTTTGAATGAAATTTCTTAACAAGATAATTTGGTTGTTAGTAGAACTCATCCTCGATTCTACTCAGACTATAATCTGTCAGGGCATATGGGAGGGTTTTGAAAAGACATCGTTCCCCAATCCAATTTCTCAATTTAATGGGGCTTCCTAATCTGACAGCTAATAAATGACTGTTAATGAGAGTCCTATAGATTGATGCCACAGACGCCAGTCAAAATGGGTGACGATGCCACATATTCGCCGGATGAATGGACATGAAACAAGTTTTCAAACCAAAAGATAACGAACAAGTTTGTGGTACTTCATTAAAGTTTTAAGTAAGGGTCTCGTATATATAGCTAACATCAATGTCATGACTTTCCACGAACTTATCTGTTGAAAGTTCTGGGTCACTGCATAAATGTTGATGGTGGCTAGTGAAAATGCACCGTGTGATTTTAGGAAAGCTGGCTCAGATTTCATATCCGATGGAAACATTCGAAACTTCAGCCAGTCATCGACTTGAGATCACTTAGATGTGAAAGCCAGTTCGAAGTGGACGTGCTACTGAGCGAGTTGAAAATAAAATAAAATAGTGGAAAGAAAACAGAATGAAGCAAAGTAGAACAAACACTTGGATTATTTGAATATTAATTATACTTTCAGTAATAGAGGAAGAGGAGCAAGCATATTAATAGTTTTCTTAGGAAGTTTCTCTTCGATGCTTTGACCTAGAGGCCTAATCAATAGGGTATTAGAGTAACGTTAAGAGATACTATTCCATGGTACCGGTAGTTTTGAATCAGGATTTCCCAACCCTAGCAGATGAACCCTCTGAGTCAATCAACCCAATTAAAGAGCCGACAAATAGCAAAAACTTCAAATCGGCATGCTAGGTGCAATCGTACATAGAGGAATGATCATTCAGAATACTTATTTCTTGAACTCCCTTCATGCTGTTGAAGTTATACGATATTTAAAAAAAGTTTTTTTTGACATTTTATTTTAGTGATAAGGAGGAATGAAGAGAAAATTTAAAACGTAACCTTTCATCACTCCAACAAGTAAACTTCGGAGAAATTGTGTGGAAATAAACTTAAAAACTATGTAGCTGGCACGAAATTGATGTCCTTTTATTTCCAACTGCATGGTTTATCACCAAGCATAGGATAAATTACACAGAAGACTAGCTTTTCAATCATTACTCCACATAACTAACATAGTAACAAAACCCCTTTAAATTATTGTTTGATTATTTCGAAAGAACGTCATCAACCAGTTTAGGATAAATAAATAAAATCGGGAAATAAAATGTTAAAGAATATGGAATAAAAGCAACTGTTGTCACCAAACACTAATAACCATACTGTACGACTATTAAGCGGGTTCTAAACTGACGGTCGACAAGTTCATAAGTTTTTCGTCATGTTTTGATCTACAACTATTTATTTTAATCCAATAATCAGCATTTCAAATCAGCATAGGCAGTCGCTAGACATGCGTAAAGCACGTCCTAACCAACTCATTCGAATGTACAAAACTCCACAGATTGGCTGGACCTTTTAATCCAGTATCTTACGCCTAACTATACTCGGTTGGTGCACCAGTTAAATTTAACGTCAAATACCAGTGACTTATGAATGTCCTTTAATCCCAATGTGCCATTTTTCTAACTAGATTAGTACAGAATAGATTTCTGTGCCGTATATTCTCAGCACGATTAACAAACTGATATCATATCTGTGCCATAGGTTTCCAGACTCATGAAGAGTGGAGCACCCTTGTCCTCCAAACTGTGTAGATAAGTTTGGGTAGATGAACATGCTAGAATAATGTATGTT